CCATCCCAAAGACCACTCTCTTTTTTTTTTTTTTTTTTTTTTGAGGTTTCACCATGATGGCCAGGCTGGTCTTGAACTGCTCACCTCAGGTGATCCACCCACTTCCGCCTCCCGAAGTGCTAGGATTACAGGCGTGAGCCACTGTGCCTGGCCCAAAGACCACTCTCTCCATGCCAGCCCTGGCAGCCTTGGCAAGCTCTGAGTCAGCGGCTTCCCTTCTGCATCTCCAGGAGAATCAGCTGTGAGATGGGAAGCTCCTGCCCTGAGCCCCGGGCTCCTGTCCCTTCATGCTCCTGGTAACATGGGACACAGGCCACCTGAGACCAGGATCTCTGCCTGCCACCCTCTGGGTTTCCTTCAGTCCTCTGAACACAGAGTCCCCAAAAGGCAGCAGATCCTCCAGCTATGGCCCCACTGGGAAGGGAGCGAGTTCCCTTCCTCTCCCTGCCTTTTCCCTGCCCTGGGCCTCCCGCCACTGAGAAAAGAGCTCTGTAGCAGCAGGGACTGGGCCGAGACTTCCTCACCCCAGAGTGAACAATGAAAAGATTGGCTGAGAGTCCAGGGCCCAGAGGCTCCTGTGGTCTAGGCTGGGGGAAGGGGTCCTGGCCTGGGGGTCTCTGAGCAGCCCCTCCTGTCTGCCTGCCCCACAGCCCCAGGATGACTACTCGGTCCTGTTTGAAGATACCTCCTATGCAGATGGCTATTCCCCTCCCCTCAATGTGGCCCAGAGGTACGTGGTGGCTTGTAAGGAGCCCAAGAAAAAGTGAAGCTGCCCAGTGTACTCGCCATCCCCCGACAACACAGAGCAGGACGGCAGAGGATGTGCTGGGATTAAACGGACGCTCCCCTCCACGCGTGTCCTGGGTTTTACTTCTCCAGACCCTCTCCCCTCTCCAAACAGGGCAGCAGGGGAGCTGGAGCAGGGTGGTGGCCATATCTGTCCCCAGTGGGCGATCACTGTTTCAGCTCAGGGATTTTCTTGGCTTCCAACACAGGCTCTGCATTGAACACAAATCACGCTTTATTCCTGAGCCCCGTGGTCAGGCTTGACTCGCACACTCCCTCTGCAGTGACCCCGGGAGCCCCTGTCACAGCTGGGAGCGGAAGCTGAGGCTGCAGCCTGCCATCTTCTCTGCATAGTCCGCGTCGAAGCGCTCATTCTGCGCCACAGTGAAGGTGGTTTTCCAGTCCCCAGCCGTGCCTGGGAGAGGAAGGCAGGGAGCAAAGCTGGAGTCTCACCCCAGGGGAGGCCCCG